GCACAGAAACATCCTCTGAAACACAGCGGCATGTGCATGTTCCCCTACATTCCTGCAAAGTTTTGTTGAAATTGGTCCACAGGTTTAGAAGTTGACCGACGAGCAAAACCCGTCTATATTGACCAGTTGCCATGGCAATGAATATTTCGAGGGAAAATGGTGCATGCACATCTACACATTGTCCCGAATATTACTGAAAAGTTTCATTGGAGTTGTCCAGACAAGATGTGTCTACAGACAGACAAACAGATGGATGGACGGATAGACAACCTGATTCCAGTTTACCCACCCTTTTGGTGGTATAAGAACGCACAAGAGTGCTTACAAATTCCATGTGGACAGACATTATGGAAAAATAATAATAATAATAAAAAAAACATGATACAGATGCTTATATCTTGTTTTATTAAGTTTTTAGATACAGTATTCTTTCCATGCTTTGATCAGCAATGTAATCTTGTCATGTCAATATCCTAGTACAAGATTGCATACACAAAATTGCTGTAGGTAGACTTTTAAGATACATAAAAAAATACATGCCTAAGTTTAAATGAAGGTTTTAAACAGAAGTCGTATTATGTTCAGTATACAGTGATTTTTCTAGACAATTGTAAACTATAAACTCGGTATACAGCGATCTTTTCTACACATTTGTAAACAACAAACTCAGTATGCGGTGATCTTTTCTACAAAAAGTTTTTTTTACATATCGTATACACTAAACTCAGAAAAAAAACAAATAAGTAAACCTTTCTATGTACACTACAAACTCAGTATACAGTGATCCTTTCTACACAAACTTGGTATAACTAGTGAATCTTTCTACTCAAGTAAATTGAAGATTGTATACAAATTTACTACAAATGCAGTATACAATGATCTTTTCCACATTTTTTTAGTTTCCGCCATTTGTTGATTCTTCTTTTGTGATGGTAAATATATTTCCACCTTTAGAGAGTACTGTGACATTAAAAGGCAACATGGTTGTCAGCATCTCCTCAAGTGATTAATCATCTTCAACATCTAATTGGAGGCCGGAAAGAAGGACGATTTTTCTCCACCATAAGGTCCTCAAATCCATTGTTGGTCACCATGGCCAATTCCAACTTAGAAGAGTCAATAGAGATACCTTCTACCATTCCAGATTTCATTTCTTCAGGGACATTCACTTGCTGAAAGAGAGTAAGGGAAATAAATAACTATATTTCATTATTGCTATGATTATGTGCAAAAAATACACACTTCTGTATAAGCTTATAGTCTTCCCAATAGGAGTCTATATTAAATATACTGTAATTAATTACTTTGACGTTCAGGACTGTCAAATTATTAAGCGATGGACAGCTAGCAAAATGATAATATCTTGACCATGGTCATACAGAGATTGAATCATAAAATTAAATTTGTGTGATAAATCTGTGCAGTATGATAATTTATTTTGACATTTGTATTTCAAAAAAAATCATTTTGACTTGAAAAGTAATGTATAATTTAATTAATTACATTGGACTGTCATGTAATGGTTATTTAATTATTTTGAAAATACCTGTAGTGGCAATGCCATTTTCATAATGTAATTGTAATTTAATTAATTACATCATCATGTAATTGAACCCATGCCTGTTACAAACAGTAGCTGTCCTAACTGATCCTAAAATAAACTTTGGCTACATCTATCACAAAATTAACTTTGGCTATGTCTATTACAAATGCCACATTTAGCTACAGTAGAGGTATTTCAAAAATGTACGTCATTATAGCTGAAAGGACATAATTAATGGCTACTTAACCAGAACTGCAGTTCTGAACAAACCACTACAAAGCCTGGTTATCTGTACGGACAATGTCCTCTCAATTAATCAATTTCATTGATTATCAACATCTTATTGTTGTACTTCCGGTCACTTGAGTTTCTTAAAGTTTCAATTTGACTTTTAATAAGGCCCAATGTGATAATACTGCAATGTCTTAATAAGTTCTTGAGGGGTATTGGTTAGACTATTTATCTCATTTCATTCTATTCACCATGGAAACAAAACTCTAAAATGCTTATAAACAGTCGACAATTAATGACAAATATTGAGCCTAGGGCTGTGTAAAATTGATTAATCAGGTGTTGAACTGAAAGTTGACGCAGTTGACATAATACTGAAATTTCTGAGATGAACAAATACAGTACATATATTAAAAGTTCAGGCATAATAAGAATTGTACCAATGGGACCTAACACTTTGCTAGGTTTATCCTAATCTTCATTAAAACACTTTCCGGGATTCAGATGTTAATTGACATCTTCATTATTCCCAATCTTCATATTGTAATCGTTCACATGCATCACTCTTCAACAGAATCAACGAGACATCATGTCAGAAAGACAAAAACTAAATTTAAGCTAAAACTATATATATAAACTTCAATTGGCATAGCTGTAGAGTTCCGGTACGATTTCATACCCTGGACTTGGGGTACTTATAAATTATCTCCGATCAGAAATTTGAAAGAGCTAGATCTACAATAGCATGGACAGTGACCGATATTTTAAAGTAAAATCGATATATTACACAGATAGATTCCTAGATTTATTCACGGTAGCGTAAGTAGTACAGTACAATATTACGGATAAGTTTTTTTTCTGTTTAATTTCCGATCTGTTGGGTCACTCACGATCATTCAAAATTAAATTTATTTCAAAACACTGAAATACTTTACGGAAGCAACAAATGCTTACATAACATTTTTCAAATGCATACTGCTTCAAAGGAAAAGTCTTGAAAATATTTTGAAAAAAGTGCCATGGCGGCAGTGCCCAGCTTGCGCGTCGCCGTCGAGCATAAATTCAATACATGCGATAGCTCATTTCAAGTGAGTATTTTGCAAAAAATGCAATTGCTAGTTCAGTTTAAGTATTGACTTTAAATTCAGCTTATATATATATAGTGATACTTACTTGCATCAAATACCCGCCATCTTCTTTCTGCCGCCGTCTTCTTTCAGGGTCCAGCAGCAATTCCGTCAAAATTTTATGCTACTCTAAATCATTCTTATTTTAGTTTCATTCTTATTTTCAACTACATATTTCAGTATTTTCAAAAGTTTTCAACAGTATTAAACGGGATGAAAATTTTCGAAAAAGAAAAAAAAAGAAAGATATATGACACCCACAATGCATCGCGCGGGAAAGAAAGTTAAGCCGCCATATTGGCATCGCCTCACAAAATTTATCACCATAAAACGTGAGTCTTCATCACTGTATTTACAAATTTCGATGTCTGATTATCATTAATACACAACACAAAACGTTTTCTTGATGTACAAGTAATGAAGAAAATGTCGATAAGGTTGTTTCATTTAATGACTAGGATCAGCAACTTGTAGGGGCGATAATCCAATGATTACGGTAATGTCCGGCAGATGGAGTAGGAGTAAACTTTCGATTTATGAACCAATGAAAACGAAGTACTGATACTCAGGGCCAGGGGCGACAGCAACATGCTGAAGAGCATTGAAAATGCTCTTAGCATAAAAAAAGGAGGAAAATGTAACCGATAAGAAAGTCAATTTAAGATTGATGATGATATGAACACAGTGAAGTAAATAACAAAAAAACCAAAAATGAGATGGGTTTATGAAACACTCTGCCCCCAGTTACAACAAAATTCTGCAGTGGGACATTAAAACTGTACTGTGTAAGACATGTGCTAATAGCATGTCTATGTTGTGGTAATGATCTTTTTTTAACTATCAAATAGAGATCAATGGTCATAGTAAAAAATTCCACCAGAAAGGTCTTGTCACAAGGAACACACATGCCAAATATAATAGCCATAACTCTTGTGGTCCAATGTTAAAAGTTTTCAAATGTAGGTCAAAAGTCAATGTCAAGGTCATAGGGTGAAAAAATGTTGGTACCACTGGAAAGGTTTTGTCATAAGGCACTCACTTGCGAAATATGAAAGCCCTACTTCTTACGGTGCAATAGGTATGGGCAAGGTTAAAGTTGACTACAGACAAACAGACAGACAGACAAACAGACAGCACAAAAACAATATGCCCCTGATCTTTCGATTTTGGGGCTTCAAAATCATGAATCTCTTTTTGGTTACCATGGCAACGATGGAGAACTAATTTTTGGAAATGGTACCAAATTGAATGAATCTACCATCCCATATATCAATTCGGACAATATCTCATTTTAGACCAATCAGGAGCCTCCATTATGTTTCCATAAATACCTATTCTGGAAATATCTGGCTTTGGTTGTTCAAAGGCAGGTTAACCAGTTGTTAGTGAAAATTTTCTTCATCCTTTTTCTGCTGCTGATTAATTGAGACAGGTCAGGTCGATACATTCTGTGTGTTGATCATGCGTTTAAGTCTCTTTTTGTTCACAGACTATAGTTTAAATTAACCACTCTTGAGCTCTAACTAATGTTCTTGAAATCGGTTTGATGTATCAAATTATTGGCTTTGATAAGTTACACCTTACGACAAAATTTGAATAAAATTGTTCTGAGGACTTATGAGCTTTGTGCCATTACAAGATACATACACATGTGACATATGTTACCAGATTATGAAGACAACCAAAATTTCTAAAAAACCTACATGCACATCTACATATAGCTTTATATATTTTTGCTTAGTTTTATGGGTACTGATTCCCAAGTTTAGGAGTCTGGACAAGATCCCTCTTATTATAGGTTTATCTGGTAACCATGGCAATCAAATTACATCAGATGTTTTGGAAAATAATTCCATTGTTATAACCATCCTTAAAAACCCTTATATATCAAGTTTCAACACAATTGGACAATATATCAATTTAAACCAATCAGAAGACTCCATAATGTTTACAAAAGTAATGGTTGTGGTAACATGTGAAATGGAGGGGTCAGTTTCAGCTTCGTCACCTTCAGAGTTATCCCTGGCATGCAGAATTTATGTACACTAATCAGTTATACCTAACGTAAACAAAAGAAATGATTTAAGAAATTTACATACCAAGTATGAGAACAGACTGTCCCTCAAAGTCATCGGGATTTATAGACACTGATTCATATCCATCAGCATACTCCATGCCAGGGACTTCACTAGGAACATTAGGAACTGCTATACCAGTGGCAACTATGACTTTTCTGAATAAACAAAGAAAATATGAAAATTTTTAAAAATAATATCAAGCATTATACAATCAATGTGTATTAAATATTTAATCCACAAATGTTGTTTATCTGTTTTTGTTTGTGTACATCTTATAATTATAATACTCACACACTGAGTAATAAACTATCTGTACATTTCTGTATACAAATTACAAATCAAAAGCTATAATCTTCTCTTACAGACACATGTCTGGTGAAGGCCGATCCATCATGATAAAATTACACAATATTTAAAATGAGAATCATAATCATGCCATTTATCAAAGACGTACGAGCAAGTGTACGCGCTGCCTGCGTCATCCTCCATCATGTAGACATGGCCATCAGCAGAGGAATCATTGGCAACTCTCCGTATGTTTTGCATATTTGAATTAAACTGGACATTCAGTCCTAATTTGCTGTGAAAGTCTTGTAAATATTTTACCAAAGCATCTGCATGTGGAAACATTTCCTTAGAATAATGTTTAAAAAGAAGTGACTCATCATGGCTTATTAGAGAATTCCAGTCATGTCGCAAGTTGAATTCCTTGTTAGTTTTTCCTGTATGTCTCTTGTTTATGCTTATTAATTTTCTGTGTCTAGGGTACACTGTGTAGAAGCTGCCTGAAATTAGAAAACAAATATACCTGTATATATCATACCATAAGCCTATATCTAGCAAGATATATATGTGGCTGCTCAGTAAAACTACAGAGCGTATTATTTCATTATCCATATACTAAAGTCCAAAATTAATAATTGCTACAAACAGTAAACAACATTATATTCAGAAAAGTACAATCATGATTGCTACAAACAGTAAACAACATTATATTAAGAAAAGTACAATCATGATTGCTACAAACAGTAAACAACATTATATTCAGAAAAGCATAATCCTGATTGGTTCTTGGTCAATGCAGCATCATGAATATTGTGGGTGTTTTTTTTTTATTGCTTTAATGGGAATTCTTTATCCATGATGTTGAAAAGCTTAAAATTAGCATAGGTAAATATGCTATCAACATTATTTCACAACAATTACTAAACAAGAGGCCCATGGGCCTTAATGGTCATCTGACATAAAATACAAGATTTCAAATTTTGAACTTGAGATGATGTCGAAAATGTGCTTTCAAGATGGTGGCCATGACGGCCATGTTGGATTTCAGACCAACCCGAAATTAACAAACTATGGTCAGGATCATGTCAGGATCATTTCAGGTAAGTCAGATGACCTAAAAATCACATACATGCTAACGGATATTAATTGCTCTAGTTGTCCCAGTTGCGAGTAATGTAGAAGGGCACTCGCAAATTTCAAAGTACTTTGAAATCATGCAGTAACACATGAGCATTCTATATTAAGTAACAGGAATTGAAAAATACAATAGTCAACCAGATCAGGAATTAACAATGAACCTCAAAACTTGAGAAAGTCTCTGTCAATGAATTAAACTGAGCCTTGCGTACAGCTTATATTATCAATATTGGCAGTGTTTAGTATGTGTGACTTGGGAATGGTAAGATTGCTAGCTCTAACCAACTTCAATACCAAAATCACCCAGAAGAACACTAGGCAGCTTCCTTTTCACGCGCGTGGATGATTATAAGCCACACATGGGCTCTTTTAGACAATTCCAAATTCTACAGAAATACAACGTAGGTGTCATATCCATTTATGTTTCAGTTTTAGATCTGCATGCCTATTCCCTTTGGATCTGGGTTGTCAGACAGTCTGGATGCGAACACATCTATTTATATTATAGTAAAACAATGAAGGATAATTCTTGTTGTTAATATTATAAGAATAAAGTGTGTAGGGGTTCACAAGGAAATACCACCACTCCCTGATCTTTAGTCAATATAAGGTCTACCTAAATCAAACTGTTGTATATCCTCCTGAGTTTATTTTATATTGTGTTCAGACTGACACACGTAAATATTGATTAACATCTGTCTTGACGCTTACTTTATAAAAAGACAGAGTCTGGATCTTCAAACCAGGGTTTTTCCTTTTTATCCTCTGTATCCCCAAATAAGCTTAGCCCTCTGTTAAATAAGGATTCCTCACAAGCAAACCATGCTCCATGTTAAATTGGTCAAAAACTATGATATATTCATACAGAAGGAAAATGAAAATTTTCTGTTTCAGAACTTAAGGATTTGCACTGTGTAGAAACTCCCCTTTTACAACACTGAAACTGCTAGTATTATATCAAAGGATATTCTATACCAAGCCTGTAGTGTAAACATCCCTTTGTCTGCATGATAGACCAGTACAAGATACTTAAGATTAACGTTAACCACTTTTTCCTCTTTTGGGCCCCATTATCCCTCCTCCCTTGAAGAGAAGTTGCCAACCCCCTGTTTATGCATTATACATAGAGTGTATTTCACACATGGTTGTGAGGCCAAATTTGATCAAAATTGAGTGAGCCATTATGGATTTGATTTGTTTTTTTACTGAGAAAATTTAACAGATACTGTAAAACGATATATGCTCACCAGTTTTTCAGATCTAGACCTTGTGAACTTGAACCAATTCAAACACTTGACTGATATAAGAAGTTGCGTCACAGTTTAAGCTTGAATGGCCTTTCTGATCATCTGACCCAAACATTTTGTTACAGGAATTTTCACCATCACCACTTAAGAGCTTATGATGGAACTTCATCAGAATGACTCTAAACAACTAAAAAGACTAGAATATCATAAAAACATGACAAACTAGAAGTCTCTATCCTGATGAGGGTACTGATATCTGATATCTGACAATTATTGTAAACACCGGACAACAAGCCTCTATCGTGATGAGGGCACTTATGTTAACATAACAAGAATATTGTAAACACAGGACAAGAAATAGCTGTCTTTATCATGATGAGGGCACTGATATCAACAGAACAAGAATACTGTAGACACAGGACAATAAGCCTCTATTGTTATTACAGCTGCATATTTCTTTTTATCTTTATTTCTTCTCAATGTTAAAAATTTTTGCAGTTCTACAAAAAACCTTCAAGTCAACAGGAAGTATTTTTCTCTGAAGTAATGAAAGACACCATGGATCCTCTATTTAATGCAAAATTCAACAGGATGTATTTTTCTCTGAAGTAATGAAAGACACCATGGATCTTCTATCTAAAGTAGTTTTATTCCATTCTCAAAAACAGCAACAAAGAGATCAAAATATCCACCATTACAGTGTAAACAAAGAGAAGAAAACAACATTTCTATTCTAATTGTTAACTTTCTTGACCTCCTGTAATAAATCAGATTTATTTCACATCAACAGTGCCATATAACTGACATACAGGTATGCCAAATTATCAGACTTTATATATACCATATCACAATAACAACGCAAACGAATGGCTAGAGGGTATCATATGTTAAACCAGATGACAGGCTATCAAAAACCTTGTTGGTGAGACAGCACATGGGTCCTAGTAAATAAATTCCAGAATGCGTCAGTTTATACAAGAGGCCCAGTGGGACTGTATTATTGTAAATTTGTCTTTATCACATTCATTAATATATCACTCACTTTACAAATTATCTATTCATTTTTCTCATTTATATTGGATTTTTTTTCATTGCCTTATTTACAGACGTATCTTTTCTTTAGTAATTAGCATACTAAACCTGATAGCCTTTCACCCATACATACATCATCCTCAGTGACTCCTGCTTCTCCTACAGAAGTAATGATTTTTTTTTCACATTTTACCTACCTTAATAGTTTCAACCTATTTTCTAAAAATTGTAATGACATGAGTATCAGTGAAACTGATAAATGCTCCTAAAGATGACTTTATTTGGACAAAAAATTTTAACAAAGGGCTATAACTCTGTAATTAAGGGATTGCAGACCATGAATTTGGTATACTGCACATTATCTAAGTATGACCAAAGTATACAGTAAATTTCATTATCCTAGTTTTAATGCAAGCAACGTTATGTTCAGGATACAAAAATCTTAACGAAGGACAAAAACCCTGAAACGGAGGGGTAATTGGCCCTGACTATGCTAACTGAACCTTGCTTTTGTAAGAATGTTTACATTGTTTTATTATCCTAGTTAGCAGGTGAAAGTTATGTTTCAGACAAAAAATTTTCAAAAAAGAGCAATATCAATGTAATTATGGGGTTGAAGGCTCTAACCTTGGTACAAAGCACATTGTCTTCATATGATCAATATATGTGTCATGTTTCATTATCCTTGCTTAAATGAAAGCAAAGTTCTGATCTGGAAACAAATTTTTTAACAAAGGGCAATAACTCTGTAACTAAGGGGTCAAGAGCACTAAATTTGGAGCATTCATTATTGTCTTAGTATGATCAATATATTCACCAAGTTTCATTATCCTGGTTTAAATGCACACAATTCAAAGTTGTGCTCCACACACAAAATTTTAACGAAAGGCAATAAGTTTGTAATAAAGGAGTTACAAACACTGAATTTGATTCATGGCACTTCCTCTTAGTATGTCAGCAAAGTTATGCTCTGGACACGGATGGAAGATAGACAGATGGATGGACAAAGCAGCAACTATATTCTCCCTCAAAAATTTTCGACATGCATATATATCACAAAGAGACAGTGGTATTTTCAGAAACATTCATTGGAGGTCATTATGAATACCATGTTCAGCTTAAAAATCAAATCAAGCAATTAATTCATACTGGAAAATCTTGATTTTCATGAAAATCAAACCATCCCCTTCAGAGTAATGAAGATATATCACCTCCCTGCAGTTATATGGAATTTCCAACACAGCTCATAACCATCCCTCTGGTGAAAAAACCACTATAACAGCGGATTTGCTTTTTCAACTTATTGCACTGAAATACATGTTATGTTAAGTTTATCTATTTAAAGTGTTATGTACTATGATCTTTGTCTTTCAGGCTTGAAATAAGGAAGCTGACTAAATGAAGTTTGATCTGTTTATTTGAGATCAAGTCATCTTGTAGATAGTCTTTTTTCCATTTATGGTAAAAATGACATTGATTTTTGTCCTTAAGAACTCCATAAGTTATCCGCACCAATTCACTTACATGAGGTTTGAATTTCATCTGTCAAGTGAACTCCAGTAACAAGAGATTCTGCAGCACACATTGTAGCTGGACTCGCTAATGTTTGTCAATCACAAATGAAAAACAAGTTGTTTTTTTATATCAAAAATCTTTTTGGCAAGCTCTGGAAAGTCCAAAACATGTCAAAAACCTTTTTTTTTCTTTTTCACAAAAACCCTTCTGTCTTATCCAGATTAATTAAACCCTGCAGAAACCCTGATACCAAATAACAGTACCACAGTCTAGCTGTACATTTTAATATGATGTAATGATGTCTCTCAAAACAAAACCAATGCCAACGCCAGGGGCCAACATAATTAGCTCTCCTCTTCTTTGAAGAGACAAACTAAAAAATCAATTCATAGTTATTTAAGACTTCTAGATATATAATAGAACATTTGTATCTCAATTGCAGTTAAGTACTTTCCTTAGGGAAACATTGTTTCGAGTCTGTTTCGCATAACTGTTTGTTTGCCCAGTTGATGCTTTTTGACAAACCACAGTAATTTTGAGGCATGGTCTCTTTATAGCTGCTAGTTGATACCTTACTGAATATCAGTGGAAGTTACAAAGTAGTTAAAGACTCTACCCACTGGGTTATTGCAGTCTCTATTGGACACAGAAGCTAATTAGAAGTTTATCTTAAAGTGAACTTAATTGACTTCTGACTTTCATTCATTTAAAAACTGTCTGAGGTATATGTTTGTATTGGCCTTGTTATGTCGTGACAGAAAACTATGTATACCTGTAATTAGGGCGTTTTTAACCTTAATTAACCCACAAAACAATAATGTAATCAAACCAAAACTTTTGGTAAAGAAGTTCCATGAGACAATTTAAGTTAGTTTTGAAATTACTTTCTTTCATTGTTTCCAAGTATATCTGACTTATTTTTGGTCTAACTACTTTGCTAAATCCATAGAGCCTGCAAATGTCAAGGGGTTTAAATGAAACAGTGCCTGTAGCGGCCTAGAAATAAAACAGGGCCTGTAGATGCTTAGAGCTGATAAATGACACAGGGCCTGTAGATGCTTAGAAATGAAAAAGAGCCTATAGATGCCTAGAAATGAAACAGGGCCTGTAGATGCTTAGAGCTGATAAATGAAACAAGGATTGTAGATGCTTAGAGCTGATAAATGAAACAAGACCTGTAGATGCTTAGAGCTGATAAATGAAACAGGGCCTGTAGATGCTTAGAAATGAAACAGGGCCTGTAGATGCTTAGAAATGAAACAGGGCCTGCAGATGCTTAGAAATGAAACAGGGCCTGTAGATGCTTAGAGCTGATTAATGAAACAGGGCCTGTAGATGCCTAGAAATGAAACAGGGCCTGTAGATGCTTAGAAATGAAACAGGGCATGTAGATGCTTAGAAATGAAACAGGGCCTGTAGATGCTTAGAAATGAAACAGGGCCTGTAGATGCTTAGAGCTGATTAATGAAACAAGGCCTGTAGATGCTTAGAGCTGATATATGAAACAAGGCCTGTAGATAATTAGAAATGAAACAAGGCCTGTAGATGCTTAGAAATGAAACAGGGCCTGTAGATGCTTAGAGCTGATAAATGAAACAAGGCCTGTAGATGCTTAGAGCTGATTAATGAAACAAGGCCTGTAGATGCTTAGAGCTGATAAATCCCATATATTGTAAAGCTATAAATATTTAATCCAGTGGTAAGGTCCAAGTCATCAAATTTAAAACTTGACCATTATCAGTGGTAAACCTGTGTTCTTGTTTGAATTACTTTTGTGTCAATTTCTGATCAATAATATTCATTTGTCATGCTAAGACACAATCATTATTGAAATCTAAAATCAATGCATCTGTTGACAAAATCAGCATTCCATTACTGTATTAATTAATTATTCTACAGACCTGATTATACTATCAATTACACATCAGGCTTGACTGATTGATTTCTCTATCTAACTATATTTATACTGAATTGTATCCTGGTCTGCTGGTGTAGAAACAAGATCACAATAATACAATAGTGATTACCCGACTAAAGCTGACAGGTATCAGTAGCACTGACTAGGTGGGTCTTAAGGTTACACTATCATTTACATCGGAAATGAAGTATAACCACTATTTAATGTGGGACATAAGTTTAATCATTGTTAAGTGGGGCATAAGGTTACATCCTTGTTAGGTGGGACATAAGGTTATACCATCCTTTGGGGGGACATAAGGTTAAACCATCCTTTAGTAGAACATAAGGTTATACCATCATTTGGAGGGACGTAAAGTCAAACTATTCTTCAGTGGGACATTAGGCTTACACCATGGTTAGGTGGGCCTTAAGAATACACCATGGTTAGGTGGGACTTAAGGTTACACCATGGTTAGGTGGGACTTAAGGTTACACCATGGTTAGGTGGGACTTAAGGTTACACCATGGTTAGGTGGGACTTAAGGTTACACCAGCATTGAACTTAAGGTTATACCACTACCAAAATTAAAACTTTGTGCTGAATAGCTACAGTGCATGATTGAAAATATTAACCAAAAGTGTTCATTTTAACAAACAATAAGTAAGCAATGTAAAATAACAGATTAATGTGGGCAATAGGCAGAATCCATGAGTGACGTCTATATCATCAAAATGGAGACTTAACAAGATTATTCTTTCATGCTGCATTTTTATATACATAAGGAAGAGAAAGTAACTCAGATGTCTTGAATATTTGTAAAAAAATGAATTTTTAGTTTTAGAATTTCAAACTGTAGAATTTTATCAAACAGGATGTAACTTTACAATCTAAATCAATAGTATAAAGCTACTGGGTGCAGGATCTGGACAGACAGAATGTCAATTTACAAATTATTGTTGCACTTTCATCATAAAATCTGTGAAGAAAAACAAAAATATACCTGTTGTATTTGCTCTTTCAAAAACAACATAGTCTCTACTGCTCTGATCGAGGAAATATGCCATCTGAAGGCCACCTGGTCCTGCTCCGATAATGCAGTAATCATGATAGGTCGACGTTTTCACCAAAGTTACCAAGGTCAACAAAACTCCGAGGAGAATGATGTATTGATGAAGCAGGTATGAAAGCATCTTTTCTTTGTGTTACTGTGTAAGGAAACAAGAAAACATGTAAGAATTTTATTGTTAAATCAGACACACAAAAAAAAGCCACAAGGTGCATCACACGTATGGCCCAAATAAAAAATATTTATTTATATAGACACACACATATTTTCTGTTCAAGTTCAAAGCATTTCTGAAGCATTCACAAAGCATTTGTAGCAAGCAACCATAACATTACCATCCCACTTCCATAGTGTTACTGTGCCATTTTAGTAGCATATCCCACAGTGTTTACATAATATCTTACTAGCATGTCTATAGCACTGGCATCTATGGGCTCCCATTCAAAATATTCTGGTGGAAATTCAATTCATGGATTACACTTTTGATGGAACAAAATATTCCCTCTACATGCAAAATGTATTTCAATATTATGATTATATCAAAAATATATTAAATGACAAATCTATGTAGTGACACATATATATTTGATGTAAATGATATTGATAATCTATTTGTAAGACAGTATCCTCAGAATGTGTGCCACATCTGTTAAGGCCTTATGTAACATCGTCATGACAATGTAATTTGTAGCATTCTGTTGAATTTCTTTCATACTACTGTACTGCTTTCATCATCCTACAGTACTGTTCTGAGTTGTAGCACTACTCTTGTAATCAGAGTCTAAAATGGAAGACACAAAACATATACAGTCTGTACCAAAAATAGTACAATTGCTGTTACGGGCGAATTTGGAAAGAAGCATGTGTACCACTGTTGATGTGACTGTACCATTATATATTGCTTATCAAATATGTGTACAGCAATCAATAAACAATGACTAGAAATGTCTTTTCTTTCAAACAGAAATAGCGATACCTTGTGAGTCTACGCATTGCTTACATTGGGATCTATCATTATCCATTGCTAACAGTGGTCTATCATTATCTACAATATAAGACAATGTGAAGCCTAGAAAAGCCATTCAATCTCAGGTCATGAATAAAATATTTCTAATTATGTCCTTTTGATTGGGAGATTTTGAAATTTAATATAAAAAAAGATCAGAGCTGGGTATGTGGAGCACCCGTTTCAAACCCTATAACTATTCCTATCCTCTATGTCTCTCCAATGGAATACACCATATAGTATTCATTGCCAGACCACTGATTAGGCAATTTTACATATCTGTAAAGTGGGAAGGGCTGCCATGATGGCAAAGACTGACAAAGAGTCTGCCTTTGAGCTCATTCAAAATCAGCGAACAGATCATAAATCTAAGGCTTGAAGGTTGAATCTCTGTACTAATTTGATTTTGTATTATTTTAAACATAACCCATGGGAGCACCCGTTCCATGTAATCTGTTTGAGAGTTTCACTACTGCTCATCACTGGTTACCTGAACACAGGTTAGGCATCCCTGCCTGGGTTCATGTCTTGGTGATTTGCTACTCATTTAACCAGATGCCACTTCACACAATTTTTAAGATTTTTGTGTTAATAAAGGGATTCCCATCAAAGCTGTGAAGACTATTAGGCTTGCCCAAATCATGACCTGCATTACCAGTGAACTAGGTTCTATTTTATTCCAAGCCAGATTGCCAGAGGAAAAATATTGACAAACTCAAAAATTCACTATATGTCTTGTAACAAGCTAGAGGTAACTCTTGAGGAGCTCCAATAATTGACTGGATGAATAAATTTTCTTGCCAAGTGGTTGTCCCTAGCAGGGCCTTATTTGTACACTAGCAATAATTTTGTTCTTCCCTGGCTTTAGCAGCTTGAAAATACAGACTCATGTTTTCACTGTAAGTTATAATAATCAGGCAGGTCACTTAGATCCTGGTGATAGATTTGTCCGCTATACTGTTCTGTCCAAACTCCGACCTGACTCTGACCTAGAACTAATTGATGATTTGAGAAACTTCTCCATAAAACTCTCTTTTTACTGGCCTTTCAAGAGCTTTTATGATCCAGAGAGATATCTCATCAAATACGCCCTACTCAACCTTGTATAATAGCCTCTGGTTTTAGTCTAATGAAAACAAAAGGGAATGTATGCCAGTTTCTTTTTCACATCCAGTTGTAAAGGTAATTATACTCATCCGTCTGTCATTAACTGTTAAAGTAAATATCTCTAACCAAGATATGACCTATTTGAGTCTATCCAAATTGCTGAAGATGGACCATCGTTTTGCTGTCCTGGTGGTTAACCTTGGGGCATATTTTTTCTAAACATCCAAGTAGGGCCTTAATTGGTTGCTAAAGGTCTAGACCCCCAAAAATACAACACTCATAGTGTGCATATAGGTGCTGCTTTAGTTGCCTATATAGCTGGTATCTAGATGATCCAGCTCAGCAGATGAGCTGGCGGAAGTTTATCACTTCAATGTGTTGTTTGTCAGCATTAATAAGCTCTATATACATCTACATATCCCAAGTGTACCTTTTTACATCTACATTTCCTAACTGTACTTTTATACATCTACATATTCTAACTGTACCTTTATACATCTACATATCCTAACTGTACCTTTATACATCTACATATCCTTACTGTACCTATATACATCTACATATCCTAACTGAACCTTTATACACCTTTATACTATATCTACATATCCTAACTGTACCTTTATATATCTACATATCCTAACTGTACCTTTATACATCTACATATCCTAACTGTACCTTTCTATATCTACATATCCTAACTGTACCTTTATACATCTACATATCCTAACTGTACCTATATACATCTACATATCCTAACTGTACCTTTATACATATCCTAACTGTACCTTTCTATATCTACATATCCTAACTGTACCTTTCTATATCTACATATCCTTACTGTACCTTTCTATATCTACATATCCTAACTGTACCTTTATACATCTACATATCCTAACTGTACCTTTATACATATCCTAACTGTACCTTTCTATATCTACATATCCTAACTGTACCTTTCTATATCTACATATCCTAACTGTACCTTTATACATTACATACATCTACATATCCTAACTGTACCTTTCTATATCTACATATCCTAACTGTACCTTTCTATATCTACATACCCTAACTGTACCTTTATACATCTACATATCCTAACTGTACCTTTATACATATCCTAACTGTACCTTTCTATATCTACATATCCTAACTGTACCTTTATACATCTACATACCCTAACTGTACCTTTATACATATCCTAACTGTACCTTTCTATATCTACATATCCTAACTGTACCTTTCTATATCTACATATCCTAACTGTACCTTTCTATATCTACATATCCTAACTGTACCTTTATACATCTACATATCCTAACTGTATCTTTCTATATCTACATATCCTAACTGTACCTTCTACATATCCTTACTGTACCTATATACATCTACATATCCTAACTGTACCTTTATACATATCCTAACTGTATCTTTCTATATCTACATATCCTAACTGTACCTTTCTATATCTATATATCCTAACTGTATCTTTCTATATCTACATATCCTAACTGTACCTTTATACATATCCTAACTGTATCTTTATACATATCCTAACAGTATCTTTCTATATCTACATATCCTAACTGTATCTTTATATATCTACATAACCTAACTGTATCTTTCTATATCTATATATCCTAACTGTATCTTTCTATATCTACATATCCTTACTGTATCTTTCTATATCTACATATCGTAACTGTACCTTTATACATATCCTAACTGTACCTTTATACATATCCTAACTGTACCTTTATACATATCCTAACTGTACCTTTATACATATCCTAACTGTACCTTTATACATATCCTAACTGTACCTTTATACATCTACATATCCTGACTTTACCATACAATTAATGTACACCTTTGTATCCTAATTGCACCTGTTTTTATATTTCCTGACTGCTTGACTATACACATCTCAATCATCTGATATTCAATCTAACCATAATTCTGTCTACTGATCATAACATATTCATTATTTAATTTACAAATGTTATTCTTTCAACTACATTTGAATTTTTTTTTACAATTTATTAAAACCCTACAAACAGAACTACAATCTGCTCTGTTCTGCTTAATCCAATTTGCTATTTCATGTAGTGATTCCAATGGATTGTTCTAAGGTAACTTAATTTTTACCATTTATTGAATGAAAAGAGCAAATTTGGAACATTAATTATCTTTAAACACAGACTTGCAAACATTTATATATAATGTCCTCCTCAGTATTGTGTGGGCATGTGCATAGGCATTGTCTTTCAGTAGATAATTATTTATAGTGATCGTTTCAAACTGGAGTAGTCTCCATTCAATAGATCAATTTTATTCATGAGGGACAGTTTATCAACTTTATTTATCAATGACCACTGGTTTTGCACCAGTGTTGTTTATAATGTTTTGTAATAGTTACACAGACCACTGGCTAGGTATTCATAAACAGACAACACTTACCAGCAAATTCCATAAACAAATTTGAAAACTGCTATTAATCATGAAAATTAATCATTGTCTTAATCCTGTTTCTTGATGATGCCTACATATATTGTATACCACATTTGCATAAATAAAATTATTTATTCATACGACTAGCGACAGTAACTGCCAAAGAAAAAACACAAATAGCCTGTCCACTTATTTCAGGAATCTAGAGTGTTTACACATATTCATTTTAATGAAATCTCTCTTTGTAAATATTTCTTGACTTGTTTTTGTGATGCAAAAACCTTTAACAAATATAACAAACAAGAATTCAACATAAGCAGATGTGTCTCCTGCCGAGCAAGGTTTCTAGGGAGGAGTTTTATGGAACAATATATATAATTTGTTTGCAATGTGATGAATAAACTTGCAGATTAGATGTATAGTGTTGAACTAAATCCCAAAGATAGATATGTATATCACAATTACACGCAGAATAAGAATTAAAAAGAAAATACCATTTTGCTCCAAATACGCAAGGAACATGGATAACCCCCATAAAAAGCAATCTCAAACAAGCCCCT